GATAGAGCTTTAGATCATTTATTTTTATTTGTGTATAGTATTTCAGGCATGAATATTCCACAGTTCATTTTCATTTCCCTTTTGGTGGACATTTAGGTTGATTCCACTATTTTGCTGTTATAAACATGCTGCAGTGAAAAGTCACATGTTAATCTTTGTTGTGTACATGTCCAAGATTTCTCTGGGGAATATACATTAAATACGGAATTGGTGGATCACAGAGTGTGATCTGCTTTAAGAGATATTTCCAAATTACTTTCCAAAGTGGTTGCACTTCCCCCTACAGTGTTAAGGGTGTTGCTCTTGTCCCATGTCTTTGCCAACACTTGCTAATACCCAACTTTGACATTTTTCCCCCAATGGTCTCCCGTTGTCATTTTAATTTGTATATCTCTGATATTAGTGGGCTCAAATATTTTTTCATATGTTCATGGGCTTTTTGAGTTTCCTCTCCTGTGAACTGCCCTCTTACCTTTTTCTCGTTTTTTTGTTGGGTTGTCTGTGTTTATCCTAATGATTTATAAGCCTGTGCTTTTGGGGCTGTACAACACTGCCCCTTGTGTAAAGAAGAGCATGAGCATGTCGTTGAATGTACCTGAACCTGTCTTGTTTGTTGTTCTTACAGGCACAGTGTCTTATAAATGTAAGTGGTGACGCAGTGGTTTTTGTTCGTGAATCCGATTTAGAAGTGGTACCAACCCAGCAGCCTGCTGCCAACTGCCACCCATCATGTACTGAAGGAGAAGTTACAACCTGAAGAAAATTAGAAAGAAAGAGCTCAACCAAGTGAAAATCATCTGTCTCCATTGTTGTGTCATTAATTGCCTTTGTAGACTTAACATTGAACTTAATTTAAGATAATTAAGAAAACTGAGTGATTTGATTTGTCTGGAGTCTCTTGGAGGCATAAGAATTTTCTAATCTTGATGCTTGACACTTTGTTTGCCTAGTCTAGAGAGACAGGCCCTTGGAATCTTCACCATTCAGTAAGTTAAGGTAAATTTCTAAGAGAACTGTCTCAAAGATGGAAGCTATTTGTAATTTATATTGATTTTAATAAAATCATAATTTAAAAGGTGAAATGGGAAGATTATCAAGAATCTAGGATAGCGACCCTAGTTTAATTTAGAAAAACTAAGCAAGGAACCGACAAATTGTTAATTAGTAAGCAACCCGATTTGAGAAATGTATGGGGAAAATGGAGAAACGTTTTTAGAAAATTAACGTATGGGTTTCTTAATGTGTGTTATGTTGATGGGGAATTCAGTAACAACTGAAAGGGAAAAATGCTTCAGCCATCATTTGAAAAGCAGTAAAAATTCTGCAACTCGTATCCATGATACATGCTAGTTACTAACAGAAGAGGTAATTTATCATAGCCAGTGTCCTTTCATTGAAAGTTTTAATATCTCTAAGGAAGGAAAAAAAATATTATATAATTTTACAACTGGCCACATTTGAGTTAGTATTTAATTTGTCTAGAAGAGGCTTGGCTTCAACTGAAAGAAAATGTCAGTGAATTTTGTTGAAGTAGTAAAAACACAGTTGATCTAGTGGGAACATAAAATTATTTTTTAATACATGCTAGTTACTAACAGAAGAGGTAATTT